TCTCGGCCTCTTGAGCCACCTCGAAATATCGGGGCGACTCTCATCCATCTCCACTGATTCTATAGAAGCCAAAGTGTCAGCATCTGACACCATGGCAAGCTCCTCCACTCTCTCCTTCTCTACGTAATTTTTATTGTTATTATTTTTAAAATCTTCCATGCAGTTCCCACGAGTAGTAAGGAAATAAAAGTCCATCTGAGCAGAGCCTATATACTCAAATAAGCATACATACAACCGGGTGCGGCAGGTGCCCGGAGGTTGAAGTGCTCGCGGCCTGGTTTTTTCCCCAACCGACCATTCACCCCTCACCACACTTCTGAGCTTAGGTTATAGGGATAGGGACCGGGCGGTTAAGCCAAGCCCCGACGACGGCGGCATTAGACATGCCTCCGACCCGTTATCCAGCCACCCTGGCTTAGCGAGTCCCGTCGCAGTTTGTACCTCCGAGGAGACGCAAACGTCCGCCGCACCAGTGCGCCCGCACTGGCACGACGTTCGGACCGAACGGTGATCTGCGTCAGATCTGCCCACGAATGCCGTAGCATAAGTAGACCCGTCGCCCCTTGAGTATGTGCCAGATCTAGATGTCCTGTACTTTAACAAGTACATACAATAGATTTGCACCACACGGTAATTTTTATAGAGGTTTTTTTCCTCGTAACCCAGCCTACCACGACGTGGACAGAGCTGAGTCTCCGTCCCTCTCAATGAAGATTACGGATTGTCCGACGGTGACAAGAGTCACGATGACTAGCCATGAATGACTAGTCAACAACGCCGCACTGAATCGCGTCCCCGCTATGGGGAGCGATACCCCGTCTGGTTTTGGTCCGTGCCAGATTAATACCGGTACCGCGCATATCTGCGCGGCATTCCCCTATCCGCCACCTGGGGACACGCCCGATAGGAGACCAGAAACTCCCTCGGGAGGAAGGTGACTCCTAGGAATATCAATTCCTAACCATTACAAGTGCCTCAATAAAAAAATATTTTTCTCCCTTTAACGTGTTTTATTTCTATATTATACGGATATTAAAATTATTTAATACATACCTACGTATCTATTAAATAAATTTAAAAAGTTCCATTTCCAAAATACCTAGTTTCAGAATTATTTTACTTAGAATTCTCATAAATTTCCGGTAAAATATACATAGAAATTATAGTTAAAATGGACATTTATTCAATATTTTCAAATATTGAATATTTATCCCAAAAACAAGCTTATCTCTATGTAGGTACTTAACAATGCCCTTTATTTCTAATGCCTAGTTCGGCCGGTTTCAAAAATTTTAGCTAATGTTCGGTCTGCTATTTTAAGTCTGTGCCAAAAACAAATAAGTATGCGCAATTTATAGCTTAAACGGGGCCGAGCTTAAGAGGAGCAGTGTGGCTACAAATAAAAGAACTATCTTCCATTGTTTATATTTATTTTCAATAATTCTTTCATACGTTATTTGCAGTGGAAAGTCTATCAAACATAAAATAAAGATGTAAGTACCTACAACTAAACATTTTCCCAAATTCAGGTTAAATGAAAATGTTGAATAAATTGCGACACCTTATTTAATGCCATGTTTAGTGACAGATATCCTACGTTTCGTGTCAATGGTGTTCTGCGTGTAAATCTATAGTAGCCAGGTGCCACAGTCGTTGTTTCCAGAGACTACGTCCGCCTCATAGGTCCGCCTTTATTTCAACGTTCTTGAATGATACTTAAAAAAAATATTACACTAATTACGTCATTACATTTATCAAACATCAAACATTTATATTTAAAATATAAATGTTTTGTAGCTGAAAACTAGGTATTTTTATTTGAACTCTAAAATGGTACAATAATACAATTGTTTTTGTTGTCGATAGATGGCGCTATGCGTCATTTGTATGTACCGCGCCACGGAACTCTTCGTTTGCTCGAGCATGGCTCGTGCTTACTTCTAATAGAATACTATACAAAGAGTAGTGTAAGTATGAATGTATTTCCGACGTTAACATGGCAGTCAACTTAGTACTTAATTATAATACCTGTAGGCATAACATCCTATAGTTATGTAAGTTATGCCTTGTTGTTGGTCAAGCTTGAGGTCCTATTCGGTATTCTATTATTATAACGCTTACGTGGCGATCAAGGAGGTTGACAATTGCTGCTTTATATACCTACATATACACTAGTGTTTTCTTCAGACCACGACAGATGGAACCCAATAGGGCTGATGCAACCTACTTGTAGATATACACCTATCTTGTTACAAACAAACAAATTCACATACATATTATACCTAGTCACAGCAATAAGTTGTGGATCACACAACGAACAGAACGCGTTGACTGGGAATCGAACCCACGACAAGTTGCATAGCAGCCGATTGCCCGGCCACTGCGCCAACCGTGCAATATTCCGGTTCATCTTTTTAAGAAAAATAACAGCATTTAGAGCTAGTCACTATAGTCTGTCTGACTGACAAAAGTACCTGTTCATTGTGCTAGGGTTTTACGTAAAGTCAGAAAAGTCCTAACGGCAGAATTATTAAGAACCTAATTCACTAAAAATAGCTCTTAAGTATTACTAGAAAATAAAACATTTGTAACGCGACATTTTCGATTCTGGTTTGTGTTGGCCTGTCACCAACAGCGCGAGGTGAACTATCTTTGTCCCGCCACCTAACGCCATCCTATTGACGTCTAAGGTTTTTTTTATTAAATTAGAAAGTTGATTAGCGGTACATTTTATTTCGGTTATTTCCGATTACCTAAATGGAAAGTTGAAATTGAAGTTTCAAACTTGAAATAAAAACAAATAAACAGGGTACAAATAACTCAGATTTTTATTTATATTTAAAGTTTTTGTTTTCACGACCATAAAAACATTCATTCATTACAAAAAACAAAAATGTATATTCATGCTAACGTATTATTTACATGCTAACGTACCTACCTGTAAAAAAAGATAGGTACATATCACGAATTTATTGAATTATTATATTTTAATACTGTGCATTAGGATTTAGGTGGGCTGAAGTGTTTCTGACGAGGACACTTCCATCTTCTACATTCACATGACGAATTGTGTTCAATCAGTCTGCCTTCACACACTGTCCGTTGACTTTGGCATAACCCTCGGGACACTGGTCACCGTTAAAAGACGATCGTTCATCTAAACTCACTTTCGGAAGCATTGCAATATCTGGCATTGCGTTTGTATCCACATTAACTGGTTTCACTGCTGACACATTTTCACTTTTTGCTATATTTGGTTGAGGTTTCACAGCATGTTCAGGAGTCTTGTTCTTGTCAGGATCAATATCTTTGTATACATCATTACTCAAATAATCATTTTTATTTATTGCGTTATTTAATGGATCATTTTCGTTCAAAGGTCGATTCATCTTGTCAGGTAACTTGGATGAAACAATCAACTTCCGTTTTGGTTGGTTCTCTCTCACGGTCGACAGCAGAAGGTTAAGGTTGCCACTTGCTTCGACGTTTTGCGGAAGGTCAGGATTGCGATCTGGTCGAGGTGGATTCGTGTAGAGTCGCGGTGGTGGTTGTGAATTCCGAGTCCCGGTGTATGCCTGGACGGAAACCGGTCTGTTACTATACACGGGCACTACTGAAAGTCGTATGTTTAAAACTGGCGGCACGACTGCAATTGTCCCTTGCCCGTGGATTTTTCCTACTGCTAACAATAATAATACAATGACTAATTCACTCATGTCACACATGACAGGAAAAGTTTGCACTATTTAGGGGATTTTCTCTAAAACAGATTCACTTAATTTTAAGCTGATGAATAGTGTGTTCGTTGGGAAACAGCTGGAGACGTAATAAATGTTTGTTGTTCATTTGGCTTCACGCTTTTTGCACTTAAGGCCAAGACAAAATGTTAATTATGGTTTCGTCAACGGATGGCTATAAACACGGAAAATCCAGTCCACCGTGTCATCTGTCGTCATGACGAGACGATTCCATGATAAGAATTTGTTATGAATGATACTATTATTTTAATGTAATGGATAATTATGGACTTTGTATTTAGATACGTGTGTTATTTGTAGTAAAATCACACCTATTAGTATATTATGTTTCCTTAAACGTGCATATGTAAAGTTGCAAATATAAATAGGTACCAGGTACCTACGTACAGGAAAAAATATTATTGCTATAGGTACTACGCTATTACTGATACCTCTATACAATACACACTTAATAACATAATTAATTTATCACCTGCACGGCGACCTACTAAATTATTGGTTAGGTCTCTCTCTACTCTAGGATATTTCACTCATTAATGATAAAATATAATTTAATATTTCACAGTTTGGCACTTACAGATAAACAAAATCTACAATAAATAAATATTGTGTACACTGTCTGTATTCTCCTTAAAGGTTAATCATGGATTTATTTATAGACTGACAAGATATTACGGCTACGGTGATTGTCTTCGTAATAATTGCCTACTTTGAAGGTAGAATAAACAAAATGTAGTAAAAACAAACCGTCAATATTAACAGGGTTGGGTGTATGTTACATTACTACTAATTTTACTTGTAATATTTAAGTGTAGTGTTTCATAGTACAAAAGCAGTAGAATTTTTAGATAGAATACAGATGTTGACTACGGATGTTGAATATAGTTATTTTAATATCTAACATAAAATAACACTCCTTTTATCCCCGAAGGGGTAGGCAGAGGTGCACAATTGGTTGCCACTGTACTTACAATGTAACACCCACTTTTCACTATTTATGTTACGAGTCCCATGTAAGAGGGGGTGAGCCTATTGCCATATACCGGGCACAATTTTAGACTCCGTGCTACTACTGAGAATTGCTTTAAAACCCAGTTATACTTTGCCCGACCCGGGAATCGAACCCGAGACTCCTTGCCCGGTAGTCGCACTTGCGACCACTCGGTCAACGAGGCAGTTATTTTAATTGTTTAAATATAGATTTTTATTTTAATGTTAATATATTAAGGAAACAAGTTTTTAATTTCACATTATTTTTTATTTTCGTAAACACTTTGACTTATATCTAATCTATTTTTAAGTTTATGGATTTTTTATCCTTACATCTAAAGGTAAGTCTTCGTCTTCATCGGTTGGTTTACTGTTATCTGTTTCTCTTTTGGGGGCATTGACTTGTATTTTGTCACCGCCGTAAACATAGTCGTTGGGTCCGAGTGGCACAAATAGAGGATATTCATCATCTTTTATGGGTTTTTTCGTGGACAGTTCTGGGCTATTTTCATCGAAATTAGCGCCATTGTTGTTCGGTTTCTGGTTACTGTACCCATAGCTGCCTGTAGGGGCTTTAGTAGTACTCGCAAAAGGCTTGTTTACTTCAGGTTTGTAACTACTTTGATCTTGAAATTCTCCTTGGTACGGTTTCTCAGATGTTGGTCGATTGTTGTACCCACTATTTTGATTAGGCTTTCCGAATTGGTTATTAAAGTTACCGTCCTGGTTGCCAGGGTTTCCAAATTGGTTGTTGAAGTTTCCGTTTTGATTACCAGGGTTTCCATTTTGGTTGTTGGGATATTGATTTTGATTGTTGGTATTGCCATAGTTGTTATTGTTATTCCCGTATTGGTTGTTAGGAGTTCCGTATGGTCTGTTTGGTTTTCCGTGTTGGTTGTTTTGGTTTCCATACTGATTATTTGGTTTATTATGAACATTGCCGTTATTACCATGGTCTTGGTGTCCATATTGATTGTGTGGTTTATTGTTGTTACCGTGCTGGCTAGGGTTTTCGTACTGGTTGTTGGGCTTTCCATATTGATTATCAGGATTATCATGTTGTTGGTTGGGTTTTCCATATTGATTATTAGGGTTTCCATATTGGTTGTTTGGTTTTCCATATTGGTTACCAGGATTTCCATATTGGTTATTATGATTCCCATTACCGTTTTGGTTATAATTCTGACCTTGGTTGCCGTGATGACCATAATGACCCTGCTGGTGATGGTGTCCAGGTTTATGCGGAGGACGGTTGTCATACACTGGAGGGTCGTATCCGTTTTGAGTAGGTCGACCGTACCCTGGGCCAGGCGGGCCGTCGTTGGGTCCATCTTCCTCCACTACGACGACAACCGTCTCAGGTTTCTCATGTCTATGCGGCGGTCTGTGATGATGGTTCAGAACTTGAGAAACTCCTCCCAAAATGGCATCAGCAACACCGTGTGCAGCATCATGAATTTGAGAATTTATTTCTACAGCTCCACCCAAGAAACCTTTTAATAAACTAGCTTTACACTGAACGTTCAGGACGGTTACAACAAACACTAGTAAATATAACTTCATTTTAAATCGTGTAATTAATAAAACGCGAGGAGCAGATGCGCTCGTCCTAGCCGGACTAAGTGCGATGTTCGCTTACGACGTGTGCACAGCTAAGTCATCGTCGGTCGTCGTCATCCTCATTATAAGGTTGCTATTCTCTTGTAAACCTGTTCTAGCAGACAAGTTTATTCGAAAAATTATTCAAAACTTAGACATCCCCTTCAAGACGTTTGTCTCCATAACATCACGATACATTGCAATTGACTAGACTTACTATTTTTGTTAAATTCGATTTAACGAATTATTTTTAGTAATTTTTATGACGTTAGGAAGGAATTTGATTAATATTAATTTTTTATTCTCATTCAATTTATTCAAATTTTGGTATTTATTAAATTCACTGCATTAAAATTCCATGAACATTTATATGGTTATTTTATTATCTTTATCTTTGCGGGGATCAAAATCGTATTCGTAATCATCATCACTGTTTTCATTACTTGATAAATTAGTATCCTGTTTAGGTCGCTTGGTGTTTCTTCCGTGAGATATTGACGCGGTACCTTGGTCATGAATATGTTTGTTATTCGCAGGCGTCTTCGAAAAACTCGTTCCACCGTGGATACTCGGTTTGCCTTGGTTTTGTATCGGAGGTCGCTTCTTGGTCGACACACCGAGAGGTTGAAACGGTCGGAACATTTCTTGATTCAGATTGGGTATTGTTAACCCATATCTACCATCTGTATTGATCCCCATAAATGATGAGAAAATCTTTTGCATGCCATCAAAAATCTTCTTAAATATGGAGTCGGCTGCATTGTCGAAGTTGTATTTTGCTGATGGATGTAAGAAGGGAGAGTCTGTGACGTCTGGCCATGACCTCCCATGTGGTGCCGCAGGAGATGGTGGTTCTATAGGTCTCAGAGATTCGGGAGCTACTGTAGACACCCTCTTAATGATATCCAGCACATCATCAATAGATCCTAGCCCTGGACCCTCTGTAGGCACTTTCTCAATAATATCCAACACATCATCGATAGATCCTAAGTCTGGATGGATTAGTTTATTGCACACAATACACGACATTACTGTACACACAAAAATTACTCGAATAAACATTTCTACACTTGTAACGCATCCACGTCAAGGGAATTAGAAATTGTTACTGACTGCATGATAGCCTATTTCATTAAAAGGTAATTAATAAGTAGGTACTTTATTACTAAACTAATCAAGCTAACGACTAGTGCTAGAATCTTTATATCTATTTTATGTTGGTAAATACAAATTTTCGGAGATTTCCATAAACAGAATATTAAAATAAGTATAATTTAACATCGAATGACAGAAAAATAAAAATCCTAATCTGGTTTTTGGAACCAATAAAATAGTTAAGAACTTATTAATATTAATATCACGTTTTATATGTTACGTCAAACAAATTGTGAATAATATGTTTGTGTTGTACAAATACATTGTCCTCAGCCGAATATTTTTATTTTTTAGAGTTCCACAAACTTCCTAATTTTTTTTTTAAATAATACATAGAGCTACTTTATCTAACGATGCTCTTTATAACCGTTTTTTCACACACGTCCAGTATTTCTTGCATGTTGAGTAGACAGGTGCAATAAACAGGAATCCAGTTTGAAGTTTAATCATTACAAAAAACTAGATTTCTATCATTTTGAAACAGGTACCTATTAAAACTTTATAGTAATATTTTTCCTCATTTTGTTTTGCTATGTGGACAGCCATATTGGTACAAATAAAACAACCGTGTTTTAGTTAAACTGTATTAATTAACAAGAAATTTTAGAATGTGAAGATAAATTTAACAGAATGTGTATATTGTAATTAACTTAATCTTATTTAGATAGATTTTTGCGTTAAAACATAAGAATACACGTAAGATACAAAAACGAAGTATGGTATTACATAAATACATAAGAACTATATAAAATATCGTCAGATAAAATATAAAACTATCTAGAAATAATAACGATGGCTCAAGATCCAATTAATTACAATATACAAGTTGTATAGAATATAATAAAGTATAAATAACGTGTACGCAATAGTTAGTAAATAAAGTGGAAAAAATTAGGTACTACTAAGACATAGCGAGAGTAATTAAGTACCCGTACAAAACAATTACTTAATACATTTGGCTTTAAACATTCGTTTATAAGTTATTAATAATAATAAGTACGCATCAAATTATTCTGCTACTATGAATTTTTCAAAATGAATCACACTAATATCATAAAAATGTGAAAGTTTCTTTGTTTGGATGTTTGTCCATCAATCACGCTGAAACTATTGACTTCTTTAATGAAATTTGGTATACAGGCAGGGTATGGGTTGGCTTAGGAGATAGGATATCTTTTTATCTTATATACATTTTATTATTATATACTTTTAAACCTGATTAAATGCTCCCGTGGGATAAAACTGGAATCACATTCTACGCGGACGAAGTCGCAGTATGTAATATGGCTCGTATGAAGATTGGAAAATTAATCTAAATACCCTTTCTCTATTCTCTTTGTCACCCTAAGTTAAGGTTTATATCCTACCAGGGGGCTATGGTTCATTTTAAAGTGCTGTTGAATTTGTGACTTAGTGCATCTCTTGCCACTCTTCAACTTTCCTTATTTGTGTTAGTCGAGTTTTTACATTAGATCTATTATAATTAAGGATGTTAAGATGTTGTTTGACTCGTTGATGTTGTTCGTAAGTCAGGCGCGTTAGCTGGGCAACTGTTCGCATGACACTACTTCTTATGTGATCCACAAATTATTGTTCTAAGTCTAGAAGTGATGTGAATTTGTATGTATGTAAACATCTACAAACCAGAAGAAGAAGACAATCCAAATATAGTACGTCGTTTAAAAAAATGGTTCTAAATTTTTTGTGTTTAACGCTGTGTCAAACCAATAGTTTGTTCCACATCGAGACACTTGTCCTCATTATTTTACTAAAGTTAGTTATAACTTTGTCATTTACACTATATGCATTTAATTACACAGTAGCAGAGTATTTTTGATGCGTGCTGTAACATCAACGCCAATATGGCGGTTATAAAATGACTGGTGACACACTGTTCAAAGACTAACTAGCGGGAATAGGTCTGCAAATAAACATTTGCGGTTTTTCTTGATAAACGATGAGTCTATGTTACCTATAACTGATAGGTGTTGTTTATTTTCTCTATTGATTCGTAACCGAAGGTAGGTGACTGAAAATGTGTATTTATGTTATGGCTTTATGAATGGGACCTTTGCGTGTGTTTACATTGAATATTTATTTCGAATTGTTGGTGTTATTAAAGTCTAAGTTTGTTTTATCGATATTTGTTTTTCTCCTCACTAGTTGATGTGATTTTTAAGAAACAAAACTCTTTAATTAATCAATAATAACTCATTTAAGAAGATTCTAATACAAAGAATCAATTTTGTGTTTTGATAGCATATTTTACAGAACAATTTTAATAAAACAACAAAGATATTATTTTATACTAGCTGACCTGGCGAACTTCGTATCGCCAAGTCTTTTCTCACCATTCTTTTTTCTTTTTATGATATTACAGATTAATTCTCCACGGACTCTAGGTCCGTCCCTTGTCATACATTTTTTTTTATTATAATACATCTAGTCAATTCATATATTCATATTCAATTGACTTTTTTCACCATTTAAACCTTCCCTGGACTTCCACGAAAATTTCAAGACTAAAATTAGCCAAATCGGTTCAGCCGTTCTCCAGTTTTAGCGAGAATAACGAACGGAAATTCATTTTTATTTATATATTGATAGATAGATATACATAGATAAATTACGTCTGTGATATGGTGTAACCTCTCCAACTTAGGACAACTCACATTTTTTATATTAAAGTAAATGAAAGTCATTGCAAGCAGGTAACAAAAATAAAGGTTACATATGAAATCACGTTGTTTACAACAATAAATAGTGAATTATTTATTTTGCATCTCTGGGCTCACGTTTTTGCATACATTATCTTACATATGGGTATAGTCGCATACAAAACAAGTATGGATAAGTTACTGAATACTCGATTTTCTTGAAGTTAATCATCTTACTTATAATATAAGCGAGATATTGTGAGTGTATGTTACTGAGATATGTCAAAACGGCTGAAAGGATCAGGGTGAAATTTGGAACAAAGAGATGATACAATATAGAAAAGACATATTTGGAACATATGGTAGACTTCCTCAAGGTATAGCAGGTGAAACCACTGGCAGAAGCTAGTATATTTTAAATCTAACTTTAAATTGTTAACTCGAAAGTTACCTTCGATAGTTAAAGATACATTGATTAATAGTTTTCATAACTTCACGCCTTTTATCCCTAAAGGGGTAGGTAGAGGTGCATATTACGGTTCTTAATGCACTGTACAATGGAGAACCCACTTTTCACTATTTTATGTTATGAGTCCCATGTAATAGGGGGTGAGAGTGTAATAGGGTGAGTTTTGCTTAATTTGGCAACAAGTGTTCTACACATTCATACATTAGATTTAAATTATATAGGAGACTGTGGGAATAATAATAATCAGTTTTATAATATGCAGTAACTAGAGAAATAAGATCTTTGAAGTGTGTCACCAGCCCAAAAATTTTGATCACTATCAATTAACTTTGGACAAAATTTTCATAACTCATTATTAAATAAAATATGAACAAATAAAGTAATTATAATTTCAACTGTTGTTTAAATTACATTCATTACATTATTATATACAATCTTAACAAGTAATAAGGCACATTGATTTTAAGTATAATTGATTACACGGTTTTTGGTGATCTAAATACAACAGTAACATTTAGTCTATGTCTTCAAACATGGATTTTTATATTATTTTAATAAGTTTAAAGAACCAAGAATTCTAGTCACGTATTTTAGTGTTTGTATCATTATTCATCGTAACTGTTGTGACTAGGTTTTTCCGTAGCTGTTTAAAATAATTATAGAATGGTACGCCAATGATTCAGACCGACTAATTAGTATGCGGCATGTGTGCCGATTTATACTAACTACACATATGTTCATTGACTATATTCGCCAAAGGAATCCGTAATTCAGTAATAATTCGATTCACGTATATAGAAGATTGTACACTAAGAACTGCCAATGTCAATGCCGTCATCAACAGTAACAATGACATTGTTTCTTTCAGAATAATTACCTTTGCAAGCAATTATAAATGAATAGGTGAAGGTTATAAATAATGCAAGTGTACCAATTATAAAATTACGTGAAATGTTACTTGATATACGATATACTCGCATTGTGTCAGTGATAAGCTATTAAATCAGATGTTTTAACATGGATAGAACATTTAATTGTACAATTACTACTTTAAACTCGCAATTCCAAATGGCTCTCGTTAAACAATAAGATTCTCCCTCCCCATTAGATGCGCTAGCTACCTGCGATTCCATAACAAAATAGTATAGCACCATCTTACATTAGTCACTACCGAGCTGCTGGCCCGGCTCTCTTGATATAAATTCGGTCACAGTTTCTACTTCACTATAATTAGACACGAACATTAACTCTGTATAATAACCGATTGTCGTAATCGATGAACACATGGTCTAAGTCTACATCGAGATTGCACTTTGTCACTGAACATTCAGTCACGGACTTAGGTTGGAGGTTTATATGCTGACGTTGTCGCTGATGGTGGAGATGGGGGCTCGTTTGGCGAGCGAGGGGTGCACGGGGCAGGGGGCGGGGGCCGGGGCCGGGGGGCGGGGCTGGGGGCGGGGGCTTTTAACTCGGGGCTGGGGGCGGGGCCGGGGCGCGCCTCGCCCCGTGCCTCCTCGCGCCGACTTGTCGAACACTTTCCGGTTCTTAGCATTGGCCGGCGCGGCCCGCCGTCAGTCTATCACGTGCTTTATCTTTACGTACAGCACGCAAGAGAACAGGAACCCGAATATAGGGATCACCGCCATTCCCACCCCCACCGCTGCTAAGATGATCAAGTGGTCCCGTATGTGGTTCGTGAACTGTCGTATGCAACCCTGGAATTATAAAACAACTTTTGTTATCCATTGAGAAGAGGTACCTAATGTTCTTTTTAATTGAAAAAACCTTATTCAAGAAAATATCTACTGCAGATCACTCATGTATTATATTGTAAATTCATAGTATACATTTGTAGTAGAATACGAATAGAATGGGTTTATAGGCAAGGTTTCGATTTGAAGAATTAGTTATTATTATTATTAAAGGCATAGCTATTTATCATTGCCTCCACCTTGACTTCGTACCAGGATCCAACTTGAACAATTTGAAAATGAACTTTATTTCCGTGTCGTGTTTAAACACGACTCAAAATGGCATGATACAAGAGATACAATACTAACATGATAGTATATGTTGGATGGATGGTCCCTGGCGCCGCAGCGGTTGGATGGAGTCTTGCAGCAGGAGTCTGGCACCAGCAGGCGCGGGTCGTGCTCGTGCCACGGGCTGTGGCGCCAGTCCGAGTACCGCACGGCACCGCAACATTTGAACTGAGGATACACCAACAGTGATTTTACATACATACTGTAGCTAAAACGAATAGGTACGGGGTCAATGCCAAACACAATAATGTTTCTTTAATTTGATTAAATTGATGTTTACGAGACGTAGAAAGTTCCAAAATTATGTCTGTTTATGGTACTAAGTGGTAGCTAACATGTTGTATATAAAAGGTTTTTATTTGATGGATGTGAGCAGCATAGCATTTTGCATTATTATCATTACCACTATATATGTCGCAGGGATATGATAAAAACAGAGATTTGGTCAATTCCCTAAGGGATTTGATCAAATCACGGAGGATGTTAAAATAACAACACTATTTTATCATTTCCCTGAACAAATCTAGGGCACAGTCTAGGGATTTGTTCAAATACCATAACTGGTTCAGTGAAATGATAAAAATAACATGTTATTGCTTGCGTCGGCGCGGCGGGCGTCCGTTGCGTTCGCGCAGCGAGTCAAGGGTCAGTTGAGCGCGCAAACCAAGATGTCGAAGCTATGCTACAGGCTTGGTTAATTGACAATGACACTAAAAATTGGGCAATCGGCTGTTATTTTGTTCAATTTAAAAAAAATCCTCCTTTTATCGTACTATTAAACGTTCACCTTACAAAGCCTTATTTGGAGCAGAACCAAAAACAGGACTCCGATCTACTCATATATCGATAGAATTACTCGATAAGTTAGTTACTGAAGAGGATTTGGATCAGATTCTTAAACAGCAAAACGTAATTTCTACTGAATTAATTGACAACAACGCTACAATTTCAGAGGAACAACTAGCGGTTGAATCAATTGAAGCTAACACTTCAGAGCAAGTTGTAGCTGGTACCTCAGCCATACCGTCTGAATTTGCTAATATTACTACATCGATTTCAGAGCAAATTGACACTAATACCTCAGCTATACCGTTTGAATCTGCTAACGTCACCACTTTGACTTCTGTATTAGGATATGCGGCATTAGATAAAGAGGCAATTTTAACGTATGAATTAGCAGCTGGACCGCCTATTGCATCAGAAAGTGAATCAGTTGAGAGAGTAGAGGAAATGGTTTGTATTGTTTGTGGACAAGAATCTACAGGAGCGCATTCATGTGATGTTTGCGGAAATTCTGTGCATGCAATTTGTGGCAATGCGACAAGCGAAGAAGGTTATGGGTCGAGAGTTCTATGCTTGTTATGCCTAAAAGAAGGAAACATTAAAAAGCAAAGGGAATATGCTTCACAAAATTTAAAAAGATCTGCTGATAAAATGAAAGAAACTTCTTCCAAGAAATTCAAAGACGTATTAGTTGGTTCCACTGTTTTAGTTGATGTACCTAAAGTCGACAGAGATCCACTAGATGCAAATAATATTACAGGGATTGTGCTAGACACGAAAAACAATTTATTTCAAAATGGTACTTCTGTTGGCATCATAAGAGATTGGCTTCCTAGAAATGCTCTTCAAATATCTACAACAACATTAACCGATTCAGTTCCACCGACTAAGATGAGTTTGCGTGAAATTGCAGGAAAATTATCTTTATTTGGAAGGCAAGGGTTCAAACACTGTTCCTGCCAACAGTCCAAAGTACAATGCAAAACTAATAGATGTGCCTGTAAGAAAAATAATGTACTTTGTAATTCACGATGCCATAAATCAGCTACGTGTTATAATAAATAAATATTTTTATTTATGGCATATAATATTTTTATTTTGAGATCAATGTTACATCATACTACACCTACTAAGTATTATAACTACGTGTGTAATTATAAATAAACGTTTAAAATGCCATAGAAAAGTTTTTTATCATTTCACTGAACCAGTTTTGGTATTTCATCAAATCCCTAGATTTGCTCAGGGAAATGATGAAATAGTGTTGTTATTTTAACATCCTCCGTGATTTGATCAAATCCCTTAGGGAATTGACCAAATCTCTGTTTTTATCATACCCCTGCGACATATATATATATATATAAATTAATCCCATTTTCCCTTGGTTTCACTTCACTTTTTCTTTATTTGTTGTATTTTTTATTAATAGGAGAAGGTTCTTAAGATCATCAAATCCCTAGATTTGCTCAGGGAAATGATGAAATAGTGTTGTTATTTTAACATCCTCCGTGATTTGATCAAATCCCTTAGGGAATTGACCAAATCTCTGTTTTTATCATACCCCTGCGACATATATATATATATATATAAATTAATCCCATTTTCCCTTGGTCCTGAAAATCCTACGGGAACGGAATAAAACTGGATTTCGCGTACGAAGTCGCGGGCAGAAACTAGTGTAATATAAATAACTAACGCCAGAATACTGAAGGGTTACTCAATTTTAAGTAGTACTTGAACATCGTGTCATCTCTGTTGTTTCACAAAGAATTTGTAGGGATAGAACTATACCTAGACGAGTTTTAAACATGAGTGGCGTTTAAGTATTGGATATAAAGTTACAAAACTAATTTGAAAGAAGCAAATTGTCAAAAAACATTTAGTTTGATTTTAATTTTTTAGTAGATTTTTACTTGGTCTGCTTTGACAAGGACATAATAGAGTTAGTAAAAAATAAACAATGCAGTTCAATGACCGTTCAATAGAAGATACACTTTATAAGTAGATAGTATCGACTATCTATTGATTGATATGATACTATTAACTATACCTATCTAGTTACCTACGCGTCGATAAACAAGCTACAAGGATAAATAAATACTTCAATTTTCCTGTTTCTCTCTATGATATACGATTTCTTTCATATTTATCTAAGTAATATTTCTTTATCTAAGTAACATAACATCACGCCTTTTATCCTCGAAGGGGTGGGCAGAGGTGTACATTATACCACTGTACAATGTAACACCCACTTTTCACAATTTATGTTATGAGTCCCATGTAATAGGAGGTGAGCCCATTGCCATATACCGGGCACATTTTCAGACTCCGTGCCTTTGCCCAACTCGGGAATCGAACCCTTGCCTGGCAGTCGCACTTGCGACCACTCGGCTAACGAGGCAGTCTATAATAGAATTAGCATTTAAATGCTTTTTATTTTTTGATATAAGATTTTTATGATGATCTCATCTGTGCCAGTAGGCTGCGCGACCGCGCACGCTGCTCATGAGGAAGAACCCCCCGTGGTTCGAAACTAGTAGACCTTTTTTAGTATATTCACGTGAGTAACCCGATTTTTAGTTAATTTAGTATGTCGCACGATAGTTATTGTAAAAAAATGATTTAAATAACGAAACAAGAAATGCTAGTGGCTCTATTTCTTTGCTACCAAGTGTATAAATATTATGTTTAATATAGACAAGTTTAACATATACTTTTAGAATGGGTCAGGTTTTACATTGGAGTCATTTGTAAGGAATTTCAGTTTTGTATTTTATATCTATGACTAATTTTGATGGTAATTCTTTAACTGTGTATGTACTCTTCATTAGTAATGATGCAAGTTTCGAAATGCCTGCATATCACAATGGGGAATCAAAGCCTTACTGACGAATATAAAAACAAATATAGCTTTAAAATTCTTTGACAATTAGTTTTGTCAGGTGAACAGTCTGCTCGTTTACCGGTTTATTCAATAAAAAAAACATTTTGGAACGCACCTAGCTTCACTGAGGGACAGATTGATAGACTAATAAGTACCAAATTATAGTTTAATTGAAATCGTAATAATAATATCGTGTGACGTCACAGCGTGCTATATTTTGTAGCACCTAGTGATGTAACGACCTCCCAGTTCTAAACTTAATGACATTTTATCTAAGTATCGTAACTTTATACGAGCAAACAAAAAATACGTATCTAATGTTTTTTCATTATCTAACTTACGGACTAATTACATTTTTAATTTTCATTATTACATGGCAACTACCCTATTGCTACGATATTGCGATTGCTATGGAAAGACTATTTAATTGAGGAAGTGAAAGAGGTATGTAAGCGTATTCCTTTTTAAAAGGCCGGCAACGCATCTGTGACTCCGCTGGTGTTGCGGGTGTCCCTGGGCGGCGCCGATCGCTTACCATCAGGTGATTCGTCGGTTCGTTTGCCTCCAATTCCATAAAAAAAACGTAGTTTTCATTATTATGGGAGTTTTAGGTAACTAGTGTTGTACCTCAGTCTGCATTTTATCGACAGCATTGGTGACGGTGGTGTCGAGTGCGTAGTTAGACAGGAACGTGTTGTTGAGCTCGGCGCGCAGCTCGTCCTCGACGGCCACCTCGTAGTAGTAGGCCAGCCCGCCCGCGCCCACCTCCAGTATGAACGTTATCAGCAGGAAGTATGTGTACTGGGAACAGGATATTAAATTATCATTTTATGTGTTTAGTTTTAGATGCTGGTTCAAATAATTCTAATTATTCAAATAATACTAACTTAAGGATTATTTGAATATGTATAATAATAGTCAAGTAATACTTAGTCTTTTTAATGGAGTAATAGCCGCAAAAGTGTTACTAAGATGGTGAGTTTTGGTGTTCAATTTTAAAGTCTATCATAAGAATATTGTAATACATACATAACATCACGCCTTTTATCTTCCAAAGGATAGGCAGAGGCATTACGGCACTTCATGCCACTGTACAATGTAACACCCACTTTTGATTATTTATGTTATGAGTCCCATGTAATAGAGAGTCAGCCTATTGCCATATACCACAATTCCAGAATCCGTGCTACTACTGAGAATTTTCAAAATATTGTGTTTGGTTCTATGTGGGAGTCTAATTCCCAGGGATTAAGGATTTAAAGCGTTTCAGACGGTACACGGAAAGAAAAAAGGGAAAAAGCAATATGTATTATGACTTCTTTTTTTTTTTTTTAAGGTGGGAAAATCATCGAATGACTGCTCCCGCCTGGGTGAGGCGGGAGGGAGTGTCAGACTCTTACTGACTAAAAACCACCCCGTTCCTTTTCCTGCACGTCGAGCCGGAGCCCCGGTTACCCGTTAGGTTCTCCGCGACAATATGTATTATGACTAGGGAATTTCTACAATCACAAATAGGTATACAGCAGTTGGATAAACCTATGACACTCTATTCACAATAACGGTAATAAAAATAATAACACCATAACATAACATCACGCCTTTAATCCCCGAAGGGGTAGGCAGAGGTGCACATTACAGCAGTTAATGCCACTGTACAATGTAACACCCACTTTTCACTATTTATGTTATGAGTCCCATGTAATAGGGGGTGAACCTATTGGCATATACGGGGCACAATTTCAGACTCCGTGTTACTCTACTGAGATTTTTTTTAAACCCAGTAATTTTCGCCGGACCCGGGAATCGAACCGGAGACCCCTTGTCTAGCAGCCGCACTTGCGGCTACTCGGCCAACGAGGCAGTTATAATAAAAATTATACTCACGCATAATAAACTGGTTCTGTTCTCAGTCTTGAGGCCGCAGCAACCTAGAGCGCACAGGGGGACGCCCATAGCCCCGGCTATGATGAGCAGGTACGCAATAGCTGGGTATGTCGGCGTCGGCAGCAGAGACACGTATCGATGTCGATAGGTCACCGTCCACGCTCCCACGCCCAACACTCCCGCGCCTGCGAACTGAGTCATCAATTTATCAATAGATATAATATTAGATACGTTATCTATCGCATATTAAAGATTTCTAGTATTGTTTAATACGATTTCCTTGTATTCTGATTCATTTTATGTTGTTTATTTCCCGATTCCCGCACCGAACAACACTGTGTGATCCACAGATTGTTGTTCCAAGTCTGGGTATCATGTGTATGTGAAATTGTATGTATGTAAACGTACCCACGACACAGGAGACAATCCTAATATAGGGCAATGTTTTTTTAAAGTAAATGATAAAAGAACTGTAAACTCATTATTATTAAAATGTAGTATTACATGAACTTATAGGTATATTACATATTTTATGTACAAAACAAGTAATTTAAAGTTGAAATTAAAATTGCAGTCAACTGACATTTATTACCACATTAACTTACGAGCTAAAACTATTATATTAAGAGATAGCGATAACTATTTACAATATGTAAACGATATTAACACATGTCTGTACTTCCAAGTGTTTGTGCAGATGACGCTACAAAAAGTACCGCAAATTAGGAAATTCATTCAAGAAATCCTGATTGAAAATCTGTTAAAAAATTAAACTATGGTGTAGCCTGTTATGTTGGCGTACGCAATTACCTTCTACATAAAATACCTCCTTAGAAACAATGTTCTACATTGAACCATAACATCATTGTGTTTGTAGTTCACGCAACTGTAACTTTGCTATGAAGTTCTATTTTTAGTGTCAAAATATTGATTTAATAACGTCCTAGGTAAATGTAGTGTGGCACTAGTGTGCGTAGGTAGGGAGTATGTAGAATGTAGTGTCCTCCTTCCAGCTATGTGGGGTGACGGTATCCGTTGTGTAGCCGCAGTAGATAGATATCGAGTTTAATGGCGTGCTACATTGTAATGTAGGGTATAGCTTCTGGCAGCATAGTAACCTGTTTTATTACAGACCATTATCTAACCCTGTACCAAATTAAATTCCAATTTCTTCAGCTGTTTTTACGTGATTAAGTAACTTTCGAATTTTTAATATTAGTAAGATTCCTATGAGTGGTGTCCATTACTGGACATAGGAATCTTATACGTATCTAGGATAGGATTTGATAATAACGACGAAACTCTATTGAAACTATTGAAAATATTTTGTAGGTCAACCCGGTGTGGGTCGCCCGCCGGGTCATTATCAGAACGTGATAATTATAGAAGTATTTTGTAGGTGTGTTGTCGTTCTTGTTATCACAGCGATAAGGTTGAAAGTGTTTTGTAGATTAATCAATTAACTTCGATCTATACACATTCCCGAAATAATTTAATATAAGTAATTGGATATTTATCGCTGATGTGTTTCTAGGCTTGTAATAAATATTTTTTTTACAGTTTCCCCGATTTTCTGTGTAATTTTTGAGTTAATAAACGAAGATAGAATACGACGAAGGATATTAGCGAGTTCATCGAGGTATAGCATCCATGTCCAGCTAGAATGGGCTGCTGAACAACAAAGGTTACAAATAGAATACAGGAAACGAATATTATGGCTGGTTTTTTCAATGACTAGTTATTTTAATTTGCTACAACACACGTTGTAATTATCTTATGGATTCCAACCAACATAAACTAGGTTTATACCACTTAGGAAACGGTGTAGGTACTACCAGTAAATCTGTAATTGAAAACCGATCGGAGTACATATTACCGAGGTACTTTATGACCAATGAAACAGGAATACAAATATGTATTTCTATTTAGTAATTTTAGTAATTTGAATATGTATTCAAATAGGTAAGTAAGTATGAATAATGGCAACATTTTCCGGAATTAACAGTATTATGTATGTATGAAGCCCTTCAATGCCATTAATGCCATGACGCATCAGGATAAGAGGCAAATGAGGTTTTAGAATTGCCAGTTTGGGTGGTACAAATTTTACATTCAAGTACCTAAACTTGCAATTTAGTAGACTGATCTCCAATCTATCTACTGAGATGTAAGACAACGTTTAACATATTATTAGTCGATGTAGATTATCTAATATTGTTAGTACCAAATTACACATAAGTCCAATATTGTTCTAAGTTTGCTTGAGGGAAAAATTGTTGAAAACATATTTTAGTAGTTGAAATTAAATGAGTTTGCATAGCTGATAATTTTAATTACACTATACTGGCTTTATAAGCGGGAATTCGGAAGAATTTCCGCAGTAAACAACACCACCTTATCGTCACTTTATACTTTTAAGTTCCTAGGTGCCTACCTACATCATACCAGTCTGATTATGCTCTAAAACAGTTTACCGTTTACTATTAAGAGCACGATATGATTCCGATCTAGATTCCGTTCAACAGAAACTCCGAAATAGCGATCATCATTCAACAAATCAAAGTCGTTGTTAGTTTATGAAATAGCTCATATTTGTTTACTACCAGTACCTACATAGACACGAGATAACAGTTTGCTGACTAACCGATTTATCTTCGTAAAGCTTAAATGAATTAATTAAATAAACACTACCACCGCAGAATTAATCATCATAGTACCTCGTCGGCCTAATTCGTCATTTGACCTTGAAAAGATTTTGACGTTAGATCTCCAAAGGCTACGTAATCCTACTAAAGTCGGTTTGGGCCTACGTATTACGTAATCCGTTAAGTAGAGACATGAATATGGGAGCTAAATACCGTAGGCCGTCCATTTTGGAGTACCGGCTGTGTTTGTTCCGTTACAAACTAAGAACTATGTCATTATGCCAAGAGTTTTCAGGATGTTATCAAACCTGAATGATTGTTTAAGAATCTAACCCAATTAAACATATAAAATAAGAAATAAGATACAACTTTTTTTATGGCATAAGCAAGCCGGTAATCGAGCAGACGGATCACTTGATGGTAAGCAATCGGCGTCGCCCATGGACACCTGGAACACTAGAGGCGTTACAAGTGCGTTACCGGCCTTTTGGGGATTAGGAGTTTGAGGATCGTTGTGGATTCAGCAATTGGGGAGATTGGGGAAGGGGAATTGGGCCTCCGGTAACCTAACTCACACGACGCAACACAACGCAAGCCTTGCTTCACGTCGGTTTTCTGTGAGGCCGTGGTATCACTCCGGTCGAGCCGGCCCAAAAACTAAGTGTAAGCAAGTCTTTCTATCTAAAAATTACTATTAAAGTCATACATAAGCGACATTGAAATGTCTTTTATTGGGGTTCATTCATGACTGATTTTCCTTTTACCATAATTGGTTTAAGCGCATCATTTACGTAATGTAGACAAAATAACAGAAAATATGGACATTACGCTTCTGCTGTCCATAAATGGCGCATTTATATTTTCTTACCTACCAAGTATCAACTTATTAGCCGTGTGATTCTTTACAGTGAAACGTCACGGTACAATGTTGAATAATAGACCGTAAGGGCAAAATTATAATGTACCATGACTACTAGGCGAAACGAAAATGAAAGTCGAGCGGTCATGCGTCTTCCTTGCATTAGGTACTTACTTTCTTTACGTTTTTCTTTTATTTGACAAAACAATTTAGTACTTAGTACTCAAAATGTTTCACATGATTAAATATGTCCATTGTAAATGCATAGAGTCTGGCATTATGGTCATTGTAATTGCAAAGTTGACTTCCTATTAAATTAGCCTTTAACTGGTTCAAATGTGGTTATGTATTACTCTAAACCTATTTTATTACCACCAACGTGTAAACAAGATAAGGACCAGTGAGCCATACTTATGAATTTGTTCTCCCAACTATTAGGAAACTGATAGTTAATCTCGAGTGACGAGATAAAAACATTTTGTTTAATATATCAAGTGGAGCTGTTTCCGAGCTGTTAAATTTGTATTTTTAATTACGGGAGCGATTTTCTTCAATAATTTAAAGTTTAAGTAGACGGTCCTACATAAATTGCCTAATGAACTTCGTACTTGTACAAAATAAGGTACGAGATTTGTCTACCGTTTTTTTTTAAATTATGATAACCGGTACAACCGTTCTTGACTTCTTAATTTAAAAATGGTATAACGAACATGACATCATTTTACGTACGTTTATGAACAAAAAAAATTATCATCGTAAACCAGGGTAAATACAAATTGGGCTTGTGTTGTAGTATGTACTAATTTCTGTGATTCCATTTACCCCGGGTTACCGTATTTAACTCGTCGAGTACCGGTTTTGCAGACACAATTAAAGAACAATAGGTTGCGGTCACCGGTGACCGCTTGGTATTTGACAGTTTAAATATCAAATGAGTTGTTAACTTACCAGGAAGACTACATTGAAGATATGTAGGACGCACTTCAAGAAGTTTACACTGCAGCAGTCTGCGTCTCTCGACTTGCGTGGCTTCACTTTTTTCTTTTTGGCCAGCAATGCACTCGCATCCTTTTTCTTCTCTTCAGCCATTTTAAGCAGCCTCAGACACGCAATGTTACTCTTCACCTAATTTCTCGTATTTTCATGTCGTTTCCAATTCTGAAAATGTAAAATAACACAAATTAATATCAAGAAAACATTACAAATTAATTTCAGAAGAATTTTGTTATACTTACAATTTTAACACATTTATCGATAACCAATCATAAGGTAAATCATACAAAAAACAAGAAAACGAATTACATTGTTTATTTATTTAATTAAATTCCTAAAATAGCTTATAAAAGTGGAATATAGTACAACACTTAATCTAAATAATTATACAACAAAACGTCTCAAAATAATTGATCCACAGTTAGTAAATTTAATAAAATAAAACTATGTATACATAAAAAATTGTATTATGACCTTGTAAGAGTGCAAAAATATATACAGGAAAATCGAGTTTGTAAAAGTTAAGCAATAATGATTAACATCATTACAGTTTCATTCAGTCCCTTAGTTCATCACAATGTAAATTCATTCTATGCAACCTTATTTTCAATACTGCCTTATAATCCTTCGGATTACATGAATTTTAATACACAATTACAGAATACATTACATTATTTTTAAATAAATACCAATATTTTTATGTAGATTATACAAGTAGAAAGCACGAGAGAGACCACACTGCCTGGCAACATATTTCATATTAATCTAGTTTATGTAACTGTCTTACGCAAAAGCTACTTATTTCCACCTAGTAATATTATCATGCTTTTCCCATGAAGGCAAGAAGTGTTAGGGAACAGCAGGAGTCAGCACTGTGGCCTCTTTCTACTAGAGAATATTGTCTAAATACATTTTAAGTGATTACTCAAGTTTTTGTTTCATTATTTATTTAGTTAGTACTTCAAAACACTAATCAGATTTGATTAACTAATGCACCTAGTTCTTACTCATCTGTTGGTGTAGCTAGCTTACATTCGCGACAATTTGTATCCTATTATCAATGTAGAATGTCAGATTGTATAAGCTTACCCTGGCACTATGTAACACTAAAATGTTTCTCTATAAAGAGTTCTGTGATGGTACTAGATACAAGCTATTAGTTACTTATCAAATCCTTAGCTCATTTCCTTATTCGTCATAATATTTTAGAGTAGTTTCTAGCTTCTCAACCACTCTTTTGTAGAAAGTGATTTGCTGCCTTAAGAATTTCTGCATTGTTGCATTCAGGTCTTTTGTTCTCTCGGCCTTGAAGTGGTTAATTTCGGCAAGAAGTGAGTAGGATACAACATCGGTTCTTCGTATTACTTCATTAAGTTGTGCTATTTCCATCTTGTTCTCAGCTGTAAGTCTCTCGCACTCACGTTTTTTCTGCATTGCACTCTTGTGTGTAGTTAGAACATCAGGGAATCCTCCCACAACTCCTTTGTATAGATGAAATTTATCACCTAATGGTTCCCAATCATATTTTGGTTGGTCATCATACATTCTGCCTATGTCAATGTATGCACTACCAGTCATTTTGATTGCAGTAGTTAGTTTTGAGGTGGAGGCTAGTGATCCTTCATCTAAACTTAGTGAGGCTGCCATGCTACAAAAAGCTTCACCGACTTTTTGGCAATCTGCCTTGTAGGAGGTTTGAAGTTTCTTAGTGTGGGCCATACACATGTTAGCGACTGACTTGACTGAAGTGTCCATGCTGTTAATGAACATATGGCATTGCTCAGCAATATGGTCCACTTGGGATTGCAATAAAGCTTTTTCAGGTACTACTATTGATATGCAATAATTTAGACCTAATAAGGCATCTCTTTCAGCTTGCCGTTTACCAGCTTTCCATCTCTTCTCGTCAGTGCAAGTGAGAAAATGTTGCCATACTTCACATTTGGATAGCACTGGATGTCTGCACATCCAGTCTACAAATTCCTGAAGTTGTACTCTTCTACGTTCTATTAGTTGTTCATCATATCTGCCAGAGATTTGCTTATCTGGCAATGGTGGAATTGGTATAAGTGTAAACTTTTCTTGTAATCTTTCATGTAGCCAATCAAAGTGTTTGTATCTTCTAGAGACTTGAATGTTATTGAATGATGGTGTCAATTGATAAGCAATAAAACTTTTGATGCCCTTGAACTTGGATTCTTTCTTTGGAGAGGCCACAGTGACGGTGTATGGTTGTGTTATTGGCCACCACTCGTATCTATCTTCTTCTTGAACTATGTAAACTTTTTCAGAGTCTGGTACCTCTACATTTAATGTGGCAAGTAGGTAACTCTCACCACTAACCTTGGATGAAGGTGCAAATTTACTTTTTCTCACTGTTCCCACAGATGATCCATAGTTAGAAGCAGTATCTTCATTTTGGTGGTTATAGTCACTAATGGGCATGCCCGGCAGGGGAGCCAGTTGCTGGTTGTACTGAGTTTTGTTTTGTTGCTGGACTGGTCCTATTTCAGAATAAGTATCATCATCCCAGTCATCATCCCAGCCCTCTTCATGGGAGGTGCCTCTTTGAAAGTTGCTGTCACCAGCACTAAATTGTTGATCACCCCAATCATCATTTGCTTGGTCGTACCTGGGAGCTGCCGGTGCTGCTTTAGTCTGAACTGATTCCTCAGGTGCTAGTTTACGTACATAAGCAGCAGGAAATAATCCAGTCTCGCCTTTAGAATTTCTTCCTTCCCACCAGCCTTCACCAATTTCAGTATTAATTAATGTCAATATTTCTCCACATGTTATTGACATTTCCGTGGTGTTTGGCTCCCCTGAGAAGTCATACAGAGCTTGTACTTGGGTCGTCATTTTGGGACCCCTCACCTAAAACAATTTCAAAGATTAAATTAAGCCAGCACAGTCTACAAAGATAGATTGAAACATAAAGTACAACAACACACTATCTTATCATTGTTATCAACAAAAGTAGGGAGTATGCACATATTATGTGATAATATCAATTCTCAAGCGAATACTGTTCTCTTTATTATTAATACTCGCTTGTACGATTTAGGGCGTCGCACAATGCAAGGCGCTGACACATATTCCTAATAGCCCCTAATTAAACATAGTTGAAACCTAATTGCCCAATGTGCGACGGGTGTATGTGGTACGTTACAACAGATTTTTGAAGAAAACTGGACTAATTTTGTAATAAATCACTTCCTATTGTGCTAAAATTCAATAACATTACAATAGTTGACAATATTCAACGTAGGAATACCTGTTTTCATCAGGCAGACAAAAGTAGTACGACGTAATGAGCTAGTTTTAGCACAAGAATATGTTTTGTGCTATTTTTTACAGAATATTTAAAAGACATTACAAAAATAGTGCAATAAATTGTAAAATCTCTTGGTTTTGTGATGGAAATCAAACCAATGACGTCCATTTTCGAGAGCGTGTATCGAATAGTATTCAAAGAAAACTTCGACTATTTCACAGAGGAAAATGTACAAATATCACAATTATATTAACGAACAACTTGTAACTACAGTATAAAAATAATTCTACTTACTTGAATCACTTTAAAATAATTATTTCAAGGCGGATACACCGATTGAACAGTCATCTGTTTGACAGATCACAAAGAATTTGTTTTTCGTTACACCTTGTTCTCGTTTACGTGGCAAGCAACTATAAAAATATCTCCTCTCATTGGCTCCTATTCTATTTGTGTATTAAGCAACCAATAGAAATAAAGTACAATGCTTTATCTGCAGTACAGTCTGCAACAAGGTACTACCAACCAATGGTAAAACAGGTTTTGTAAGTAGTAGAACGGAAACATGTCTTGTCGTTTCGTTCTCTTTATTGAGTTGTTCATAGGTGTAGCAAGATGGCGCTGTTCCTAAATATTTTAATGTTTGCGATTTTCAGGATTTACGCGTTTACATATTTTTTTTTAGTTTCCTGGTAGGTTTGAAAATTACAGTCATGTCTTTTAAACTAAACGTTATGAAAAATTATAGTCTATAAATAGTTAATAGGTAATATGCGTTATATTACCTACGTACAATCTATATCTATACTAATATTATAAAGAGGAAAGATTTGTACCTATTTTTGTATGTTTGTATGTTTGTAATGAATAGGCTCAAAAAGTACTGGGCTGATTTAAAAAATTCTTTCACCAATGGAATGCTACATTCTTCCAATTTGACATAGGCTACATTTCATTTTGAAAAGAATTAGGGATCCTTGGTAAAATTTGAACATTGTAACCGGAGGTGTAGAAAAATGAGTCTTAAAATGTCTTTCGTCGAATGCGCTGCCGAAACTATTGGCAATAGAACAAAATAATGTAGAACCATATTGAAGAACATCATAATGTCTACAAAAAACTCCAACTATTGTCACTACAACAATCCAAATTTCCAAAAATAAATAATTTTCTACCCCGTGCGAAGCCGGGACGGGCTGCTAGTAATTTATAATTTGGCACGTAACGTACCTACGGACAGGACTTGACTCGCATTCTGGACATTAAGAATTTTTTGGGTAAAATTAACCGTTTACCCACTGGTTTACATATATAGATATACTACTACTTATCTTAAATATGTATATTTTAATTTTAGTTTACTAAATGTATACTGTGTAGGTACAGCAATGTTCCTACGTAGGCACTATAGTATACGTTTTCCGTACCTACCTAGTTTTCTCGTGACACAAATGATCAGTCAAATGAAGTACCAAAAGTAGGCACTCTGGTACATTCAAGCTTACAGCTTTTAGTTACTTTAACGTTAGGGCTTAGTGATAGTGCCTACCCTAGGTTTTAGATATTTTTAGCCTATTCAGACTCTTTTGTTGATGATTATAATTAAGAACCTATTTAAAGACGGGCTTATTTTTAAGTACGAATAACATTGTCTGGGTTACTATGTAGGAAGGTACTTTAAATGTGTTAAGTACACTTTGTTTCAAGTTAAAAAGTAGTCTCAAGTAAAATATCAATGAGGTCCTGTCTACGAAGCGAGAAGTTTTCAATTCGATTCCTAATTTAAGCTAAATATTTTAGTATCCATTTGATTTTCTGTTTAATTGATACTTATGGAGTAATGATACTGAAATCTATGTGGAATAAAGATTTATTTTTTATATATTAATGT